TTTAGCCAGCGTCACCCATCCTCTGCCCACTGCATTTCACACCATGTGCGACTTACATTATTGCTTTTTTCCCTTGCTCCTGCACAGCTGGTGGTACCTCTTAGACCTGCTGACCGTATGACTCCAGCAAAGGGTCATCTGGTTGCTGGAGAGGTGCTGCAGTGTTATTCATCAGCTAAGGTAAGAGCATTCTCTCACAGCTAACCAGGTGGTTCTGTCATTTGACACCAAAGTTGTGTGCCTTGACATGTGCTGTCCTGTGTCTTGGTTTAGAAGGCAGTCAAGAGACATGAGTTCTTTCAAATAAATGGCTCAGCTTGGAGCACTGTGGTTTGATGTTCCTAAAGCTGCTAATCCAAATTAACAGCTTTTCTGAGTCCATTTTATACCACTCTATAACAGCCCAAGTGGGCTTTAAAGTGAATGGAAATGACCCCATGGAGAGCCCTCTCTGGAGATGTTGCTATGCCGACCTGCTTACAGCAGCTATTAAAGTTTCAGTTGCTCTCTCCCATCCTACAGTGCTGTTACTGTCATATATGCTCAGATGGTGCCAGAATTGTGTCTCAGATGGCTGGGGCCTGGTCTCAATTATTTGCTTTTCTGGAAGACATGGGGAAAAGGGGGAAAAAATGGTAAGAATGGTACTATCATGTCAGGCAATAATATAAAGAATCTGCAACAGTAGCAGGAAAAAAAAAAAAATAGCTGCACAAATCTGAGATTCTTCTGGAAAGGAAAAAGGGAAGAGAAGAGAAGTCAATTTTCTTTCCCCACAACTCTTTCAAAAAACTTTTTTTTTCCTAAACATACCTCTGCATTGAAGGTCTGCAGGCAATAAGGCATTTTTCCTGGTTTTCTCACCTAGTCTGATGGGAACACCAAGCACCTACCATGTTATGTCCACTGCCAGTTCAGGGGGTACATCCTGCTGCTAATGGGCTGTCAGAGGTTGTGCGATGCTGTCAGCTGACACTCCTTCTCCAAAAGGAGTTTCTCTTGCTGGAGAGAAGAGGTCACACAGCCTCTCTCAGTTGACAGAGAGCAGCAGGGGCAACAAGTTCAGAGTATGGCAGCAGTCATCTGGATGGCAGCGTCCACCCCAAGCCCCTGCCATGATGGCAGAAGCAGAAGTGCTTCTGTCACACTCCCTGTGCTGTAGCACAGAGCTTGCAAAAATTTTGGCCAAGCTCATTCTACTTAAATTCTATCTTCCCAGAACCCATAAATCTGAGGCATTAGGAGGAAGACATGAATATATTCTAGCAATATAAAAAGTAACGACTTAATATAGCTTTTTCTCCCCCCTTCATTCACAATCTCATGTTTTTAACATTTTGGCAACTGTCAAATCTTGAAGGGCTATAATGTGCGCTAGAGAGAAGAGAGATTTTCCCTTTCTAGGATGGTGTGAACTGAGCCTGCAGAGAGCTTCTCCCCTCCTTCTAGATCAGTGCTTAAGCCCAGAGGCTAGTAATGACCACGTGCCTGCCTGCTGCGCTGTTCTAGGCTTGGGCAGAGACGTGGCACATTTCAACAGAAAGAGGAGAATGTCTTATTTTATCAGTAGCCTCCCTTTGTATGAGGAGTCTGGCATGAAGAGGAGAAAGAAACCCACACAAGAAGGGCCATGAACCGCGGGGTCCTCTGGCCCAGGTGCTGGGGCAGCCCGGGATGTGCTGGCAGCCCAGCCTTTCTTAGAAAGCATCACAGTCCCTCACCACAACCTGAGTAAAAATAACAACAGCTCCTGTTAGCAATCGAAAGGTAGGAAAAAAAGAAAAGAATAAAACAGTGCACGAGAAGCACAGTGATTTTATAGTTGGAGCGCTGGCAGCAGCTCCGCGGCCTAATGGTTTCCATGACGATGGGGAGGCCCTGCTGCAGCCCTGCTCTGCGCGTGGGAGAAACCATCCTGGGGATGGAAAAAAGCACTCTAATGTATTGGGAAAACCCCAGGACTGGTGTGGGACAGGAAGAAAGGTGGAAAACATGGCCCCAGAGAAAATTAAAGGAAGAGAGGGAATAATATAATGGCAGGGTCCCTCCCTCAGCCTCCCTTCGTGCTGTGGGGAGGACGTGTCTGCACTGATAGGTGTCCCCTTGGCAAGTTGATAAAGTCCAGAGGGGATGTCTTAAATGGTGTAGACAGTGCCATTGGAGACAGAGAGTCCATTCTGTTGTTTATTATCTATAATATGTAGCATCCCAAAATCTCAATGAATGACAAACCCTAATGTGCTAGGCTCCATACAAATACACAATAAGAGAGTCCCTGCCCTGAAGAGCTTACAGTCTAAAAATGGTCCCTTATCTGTTATAATTTGGAGAGAAAGGAATTGTAGAAAGAGAAATGAGAAATCAACTTTTTTTTTTTTTTTTTTTTTTTTCTGACTTGTTTCATCTTCTAAACAAAAACCACCGTACATAAATGCTGAGATCATCATTTTCAGTCCCCATCATTAGCCAGATGTTCTTGGGCTGTGTACCCTGGAGCGAGCTAGTCAGACTGGTGAAAAGGCAACAGCTGTCCCAGGCTGAAAGATGCTGCAATATGAAAAAGGCACTCCAGCTTGATGGCAGAAACTACAGAATGCAGAGAAAGGCGGGTGGTTGAAGCAGTTTTGGGAAGGAAGCAGTGGAGCTTGGCTCCCCATGCCTGCTCAAATACGGCCACTAATTCAGGCTGCTGATGTTCTCTGTGCCCCATATTCCCTGCACCTGGTTTTAGGAAATGGAAGCTTTGCAAAGTAATTTAAAAATATATATATATATCTGTCTTTTCTTGGCTTTCCTTTTTTGAGAAACTGTCTAAGCTTACTTAAAAACATAATTGAATTTGTGCATGTCTTGATTTATTGAGCTATTTGTGATGGGCATAGATTTCCCTATGCCAAAAAGCCCCCTCCCTCCTCCTTACCCAGCCTAAGTAATCAGTTTCCTTGTGCTCCAGCCCACACTGGGCTATTTTCCTCGATCAAATTCTCCATCACTGGTTAAATAACTGAGGTGTGTGTTGGCTTTGTCTTTTTTTGGTGTGAAATGTTATACTCATTAAAGTCTACTTTGCCCAAGTCCCTATCATCCTCTTAGTTCACTTGTACACTGTGCTTCTCTCCTGACTTACTTATTCTGTTAGAGGTCTAATTTCAATATGCTGCTGCTCTCAGGGCTGAAACCTTTACTCTGGTGTCCATGATGACCATCTTCATCTATCAAGGGTCCCAAGTGCTCTGAAGCTGCAATGACTTTGAGATATTTGCTCTTTTGGGCAAGGATAATAAATTTTCTTGTCCAGCAGTCTTGGATGCTTCCCTTCCAGGTATTGCTGCCTGTGTTCACCACAGCCTACATTGCTTGCCTATCTTTTATGCTACCATTTTGTTAATGATCATACTTGGCATGGGCCCTGGCTTGCCACCAGGGTGTCCCCTTCCACACACATACTAGCAGCTACCTTCTGACATCTGGAGACATGCTTCACTCAGAGTCTGTCACACGAGCCAATTTTAATCTAAGATGCTCTTTCCTGTTGAGATCACAGGTCCCTATCTAATTCAGCTCCCTGTCTGAGTAGAGTTGAGTCATAGAAGCTTTTTCTATTGCTACGTCTAATAGTACTTTGCTATCAGGAGCAGAACATCAACCTGCTTGGCTGGGAGTTGGCACTGTCACCCAGCAGCCCTCCTTGTCTGGAAGTTGTTTTGATTCTTTTCTTAGACTTCTCCCTCTCTGTGTCTCTCTCTAAAACATTAATTTCCTCTAATTAGAGCCTCCTTAACAATTCTTTTTCCCCTCTCCTCAGTTAATTTCCTCTAATTAGAACCTCCTTAATAATTCTTTTGCTAAATCAATTTCCTTAGTTAGAACCACCCGCCATAATTTCTTTCCCTCCTTTCAGAAGCTGTCAGAGTAGCTAAGCAAATTATGCTTCTGGGTAACCTTTATCTCTTACTTGGTATTTTAAAAGAACTGTAACAGGTTAGACAGGCACAGTTTCCCCTTCCAGAGCTATGCTGGTCTGACCCCATTAGGTTATACTTAGCTGAGTGTTGTACTATTGTATACTTAATTAGGCACTCTAGCTGTTTCTCTGGAACCAAGGTAAAGCTGTATTTATGAATGAATTAAACATGACACTTCATTATTCAGATCAGATTTAACAGTGTCAAAATCCATCTTTAAACCAGATCAAATTGCTCTCTAAGAATATGTAAAACCTCCTACCCATTAGCTGTCCGAAGAGCCAACCATTCCTAACTTTTCTCTGCAATCATGCCAGCTTTTTTTCTCATGATGAGCCTTTTAGGTAGCAATTTGTCTAATACACGCTGTTCTTAAAAAGATTGGTTCTGTTTGTAATTTACAGAGTAAGCAAACATTAGTGGCACACTACATTTCACAGTCATGCTGTGGTCCATCTCAGCAGCTGGTATAAATGGGGAGACCTGAATTTATACCTTAGACCTGAATTTGCCTTTCTATATCATGCAGTTTCTTTCCAGCTGAGACTATATTTTGCATTTTTCTAGTCCTTTTCTTTAGGTTTGTTGAAGAATCCCACTGTAGTGGACCAGGGTCCTGCAAAGCAGCCATCTCTGTGTCTGATCTGTAAGAGAGCTACCAAGGAGCACTTGCTACCTTTTCTCATTTTGGGAAGGAAAGGGGTAGAGATTGGTGACAAGTGGAAGGATTCATTCAGTTTTAACAAAGTCTGTTTTTTAATTTAAATATTTAAAAAAAAAAAAAAAAAAAAAAAAAAAGGAAGGAAGGAAACATCTGAGCTGCAGGAACTTGCTCTCCCACTACCAGCAAATGCAGTACTTGTAGCTGACAGTGTTCCTTTCTCTAATACTTATTTTTAAGTTAGCATCAACTACCATGCACAGATCTGATGGTTTCAACAAGAGTCCTTGTAAATGAGAGCACTACCCTGCTACCACGTATGATAGAATAGGGCCCTGATCACACGAGACAAGCCAAAGACATCTACTGCTCTATGGATTCATGGGACTGCTTCTAGTCTTCACAGCACAAGGACTTTTCTACCTGTTTTGGCTATGCTCAATATAAGCTGTGTTTACTGCTCAAAGTATTGATCGTAAATTGAGTGTCAACACAAGCACTGAAAAGCCTGCTCCAGTAAAGCAGATGGGCCTTCTAAAACTTGTGAGGCGCTTTTCACCACCACCTAAAGAAAAATGCCTCCCTGGGTGAGTGCCTTCGATGCCACTTGATACAACAAGTGAAGTGATGCATTAGGAATGCTCCACAGATATGCTACAAGGAGCTGGTGGAGGCTTGTGGCTACTCCATCCTTGTCTGTGCCACTCTCAGTTTTTAGGCAGGTTCAAAACATTCCAATCACGTACAGCTACTTTGGGAAACCTGTACTATCACCTTCTTTCACCATTCTTTCTTTGTGACCTCTCCAAGCCCTCAGCACTCCACAAAGTCTATTCGGGTGTAGGTGGTACAGAAGTTGTAAAGTACATTTTATTTTCTTTGCAGATGTAGTAACTACACAGAATACTCCATTTGCAATCACTTCTCATGGAATTTTGGGGTAGGTATGCATGGAAAAATGAAGCATTAAGGTTTTTGTTCTTGACAAAATCCCTAATGTTTTAGATGGGAATAGGAATTTTGGGGCAATCTTACAAGGAGCCAAATGCTGGTGGTACTGGAGAAAGGGTTTTGGGGAAGGGAAGGTTCTCTAAAAAGATAGGTTTGGAGGTTTAAAAAAAAAAAAAAAAGTTAAAAAAAAAAAAAAGAAAAAAAAGTTGTCTGGTTCTTCTTAGAAGAGATGAGAGAGTTGGAAGAAGGTTGGAATGTTCAGAGCGACAATCAACTAAACAGAAGAGACACTGTTCTCTCTATGCTCCTTGAAGAGTTCATCTTTTTGGCCTCCAGTCCATTCCAGCTGAGGAAGAATGGCTAGAGATAGAGATAGGCAATCCAGTAGACGATATTGAAGAGCAGGAAGGCAGTGGGGAAGAAGACACGGGAGTAGGAGTCCAGGCGGGAGATATGAATGCGGACCCTGCCCTCCCGCCACATCCCTGTCTGACAGTCCTCAATGCAGCAGAAGAACCTCTCACATTCCTTTCCTTCCAGGCATGGAGAGCCAGGGTCATCATCGTCATCCTCCTCTATCTCTGGAGGCCAGTGCATGATGTTGTTGATGTTGATGTTGATAGCAGTAAAGGATGGCATCACCTGTGCGCCAGCAGGTGGCTGTAATGAGGAAGGGTAAGGGGATTAAAGGAAAAGAAAATGCAAGAAAACGTGCTTTGTTCACCAAAAATTATCGAACTTGGTCAGTTGGTCAGTTCATAACACAGGCACAGTTCAGTGGAGGGACATGACTGTTCATCTCCCTTCTCTGCATCTGATTGGCATACTGCGAAGATTTGGCAGTTACCTGCATGACTGTGAGTTTCCTCCCTGGCATCCTGGGGTGCAGATTTAGGCAGCAAAAATCTACTTGCTATGATTCCCCAATTTTGCCACAGTCAGCAAGCAGGGTGTTTGCTTTCCAGCTGTACTAGCCCCTTCCCTCATTCCCCTGAGCTCTGCTGTCTCTGAGGGCAGAGCCACAGTCCAGATACATCTTCTAGTTGCCGTCATCTGCTGGAGGATAGCTGGGGCAAGGCTGTTTGCAATTCTTAACGTCGTGCCCCAGTAGAGGAGGCATATCACCAACCTCCTGGAAGAGCTCTCTCCACCTGTGCTGGGAAAGGAGTGCGGGAAGGTAGAGATCTGCCTTTTTGTTTTCAGTTGGTGTCGGCTCAGAGGCCTGTTTCATCTGATGTGTCAGATGTATCTGCACTAAGCCTAGGCAGATCTCAAGAGGATTATGGCATCTCTGGGTTCGCTGTCTCCACACTCAGCAGATTTTCTGATGACAGACCACAAAAGACAGTAAGTCTCTGCATCTCTGTGACCTAAGATACTTATGTAATCCTTAAAGATTAAATCTGTAAAGACTGAAGAGCCTGGGCGTGGATTGCTCTATCTTGAAATGGACATTTATGTTTAGTCATGTAAACTATACTGACAAGCTCTCCAGCAATTGAGCACAGGGTTCCTGGCCCCAGCAGAGACCTCCTTGTTTTATGGGAGTCTTGGGGGATTTTTCTGGTTGTGTCTGAATTTCAAGTTCTCTGACCCAGCACACAGATTGGTTTGAAAACCTTATGAACAAAGTACATGTCAGGCACTGAACAACTTCAGCAGTTTCCAGTGCAGGCTTAGGACAGAGATTCCTAAATGACTTGGAGTTCTAACAGTATGCAGCTCTGCTGGCTGGTCGCTTCAACTTACCAGTCTGGCTTTCCTGCTGTTGTGCTCCAGTGGCTTCTTGTTTCCCACCAGGTAGTTGAGTGTAGCATACTCCATGAGGGCTGCGAAGACGAAGATGAAGCACACAGACACAAAGAGGTCCATGGCTGTGATGTAGGAAACACGGGGAAGGTGCTTGCGGGAGATGGTACTCAGTGTGGTCATTGTTAGCACAGTGGTGATGCCTAAGAGAAAAAAAAGCTAGTTCGGGTAATGAAGAAAAGCACTTCTGTCTTCAGCATGTTCTCAAACACCTCAATTTTCCCTCTCCTGTGGGAGAGAAATGACTTTAGACGTCTGGTCCCTTTTTTGCTCTGCTTAGCCAGACTCTGGTCCTGCAGTAACCTCTGACAACGCATCATGGAAAAAGAGCTGTTTGAAACCAGAACATTGCACAGGCTATAAACATGTACTGGTAAAGGAGCATGGAACTTGAACTCTGTTTAAGCTGCATGCAGAGTTCAATGTCTTGGATGCTAGGAAATAACTGCTAGGCAGATGTCTTTGGGCAGGCAGTGGATGAATTGTTCTCCCTTTGAGTATTTGTCCCCAGGATAAAATTGGCCCAATGGCTCATCAACTGGATGGGAGATGGTAATGAATCTCTTGTGGCTCAAATGGGGCTTGGAATGGATTTCTAAGTAGCATTAGTGCTCACAAACCTGTTTTCAGAGATCAGGCATTAGGAACCAATACACGATCAGCTCCAAGAGTTGGTATTGTGCTCTCAGCTACTGATTTTAGGATGTGGAGGAAGCTGTGGAATTTCACCTGCTCCTCTTTCTCCAGCACTCATCTAAATCCACCTGTCACAGGTGCTCACCCCCATTGGCTCGGGGTGGGAGCATAGCATGAGGTTTTCATATTTTCTTACTGCATTTGCATTAGCAACTGCAATGCAACTTCCCACACATTTGAAATGCCAGTGGAGCTGGTCCAGTTAACATCACTTTAATGTAGGCCTATGGGCTTGAAATGTAGTGGGAATCATATATATGAAGAATGCACTACTCTTGATGTGCCAAGATCCTTTCCTACAGCAAAGGCCTGCCTCCTGTGGGGGCCTGCCCCTATTTTTTGAGACACTCACACTCACCACAGTGGTGTCCTTTTGCCTCTTGCTGTTCACTCCTTCCACAGCCATGGACTGTGATGTACCTCCATTGGAAATGAACACCCTTCTTTTCCTCCTGACCCTATCCAGGGCTCTAAAGAAATTGATTTTGATAGAGAGGTGGGAAGGAATGTTCAGAATGGATGGGTTCTGAATAGCCCTGCTGATGCTGACAGCCCCGTGTCTCTCCTCACCCAGCAAAGGCCTGCAGGCAGGGCTGGGAATGCTACCTTCAATAACAGGGAAAGTCAGATGGGCAGGGTGGAGGGACAGCACTGGGAAGCTGAGCTTTCTGCAAAATACAGATGCAGCTGAAGTGCATTAAAGATTTGTAAAGCTCTCTCTAGCTCCTATCAGAGCAGGATTCAATCAACATGAGCTTTATCCTGCCTCAGAGAGCCACTGTAGATTGCGGAGCAGATCTGAACAACAGGTAGAACTGTTGGCATTCTCTGAGCTCCCACTATGGTGTAATTGACAAAATCTGTACCTACTGAGCTTACAGCTCCTGCTGGAGTTTGGGATTCTATTTCTATGGCCAAGCAACTTTGCTTATTACCCTACAACCTTCATGTGACTGGCAGTGAGCCCCCAGGAAGTGATGAGGCATGTGGCTGGAGATCTTCAGTCAGTGCTGCAGTGCCACAGTACACCCCTTTCCTCTCCCTTTTCAAGCATAAGAATATCACATTGTCAGCTTAAGAAGACTGTGTTCAGAACTTAGATCAAGAAATGAGTCTTTTGCCATCTTAAAGAAGTCCAGTAGTTCAGGCAAACACAGATAGATAGAAATTCAGCTGAGCTTAAGGACAGTGCTATAAAAAGAAAGGGGGATGGACTTCACTAAACTGAATAACGCCAGAATGCTTTAGGAGCTTTCATACTCCAACACTTCCAGTCTGCTAGTGTTGCAGCAGTAGTCAACAAGCAACATACATGAAACAGTCCTTCTCTTACCCAGAGACGTCCTGGCCGGTGTAGAGTCCCTCTTGATCCAGAAGGAAACCCAGGAGAGAACAACAGTCAGGATGCAGGGAATGTAGGTCTGAATGGCAAAATAACCCATCCGCCTACTTAAGTCAAAAGAAACTGTCATCACCATGTACTCCCCTAGAAAACAAGAAATGAAAGAGACACTGGAATCATAACATGTAGCTTACCAAGGTACAGAAAGTTTTAGAATTTGGAGTGTTTCTGTTGCAGTTTACTAGTTGTTGTAAGTGCCCATCTGGCTGTTCTTGTGCCTGACATTGTGACTGCTCAGCTTGCTAGCTTCACAGATAGCAGTGTGCCTGGTTGGGGTAGACTTTGTGACTGGCTGGCATTGTGCTGGCTTGCTGTTTCAGCAGTTAGTGGGCTCGGTGGCTACCTCATTGGCAGGCTGGCTCTGTGGCTGAGTTTCTGGCTTCACGACCAATTTAAGAGCTGATTTTGTTTTTGCCTAACTGGCCAGCTGGCTGGCCATGCACACTGAAAAGCACTCTGCTGGGGAAAGTTTCAGGAGCGTATTCATCTTCAGCTGATTGCTTCAATGGTTTCTTTTCTATAGAAAGCTTTTTAGCTATAACAAGGCTACATGGCCTATCTTGTCAACTAACTACCTGAGCTGCCACAAAGAAGGTTCCTTCAATCAGTTCTTAGATTCTGGTTCTATCCCTGGAAAAGTTACATAGTGGTAGACATCCTAATTGTTCATTTTGCTACTCACAGCTGAAGTTCTTCCTCTTTTTCAGAGGCTTATAGTGAGGACTGAAAGAAAGCAACCCGACAATTCTAGGGTTAAGATGGAGCCTGCAGGCAATTACCAAGAAAGAGAATTACAAATGGCAAACTGGTGCATTCAAGACACTTTTACTGCACCACTCCTCATCGTGGTTTGTGCTGCTTTTCTATCCAAGTTAGAGGCTGTCTGCCAGCACTGGCAATAGTAGCTCTCTCCAGGGTGGGAGAAGCTCGAACTTGCTGCATCAGGGGACTGAAAAATAAGAACCACATACATTTGACTGCATAGTCAGCAATCTGAAGAGGCTTTTCTTGGTTGTCTATGGAAAGAAAAGGGGATGTGAGAAGCTGAAGGGCCTCCATTTCTTTATCCTTCATACATGCAGCATTTCTTCTGGCTCTTAAATTATAGTTCAGGTGTTCAGCCTCACACCACTTTACAGAAGGGAAGACCAAGAATTGAGAAAGACCAGAATTGAGATCTTCGAGTTCTGATTTCTCTGTGTTCTGATTATAATCACTCAGGAATTTACATAGCATACACATACTTCTTTCTCATAACCCTTTGACTAGGGATAGCTTCATTCACATCAGCATTGTCACCCCTAAGTGTTCCTGTGTCTGTGCTCTGGCCTACACTGCTTTGACTTCACTGCACCCTTCATCTTCATTACTTCTGCTCCTTTTAGCAAAGGTCCATCTTTCCTTTCTTAATGTTCCTCTAACTGTACTGTTGTGACCTCCCCTTCCACCCACAGAGTAGTCTGGTGGCCTCTGCATCTCACAAGGTCTCTGACGTACTGGTGATTCCGTGGGCTGTCTCCCTTTGCCTCACCTGCTCCAGTCCTGAGAACTTCCGAGGTGTTCCTCAGCCCCGTGAAGTCAAATTGGTAGAGCCTCCAGGTGCGCTGGTCGGAGACCTCAATGGAATAGCGTCTCCATCGATAGACAATCTCCTCACGTGGGTAGCCATCTGGGGAAAGGGGAACGACATCAGCAAGAGAGTACATGGCATGCCCCCCTCTCATACACCACCTTGGTTTACAAAAGCACTTGCATCGTATTCTAGATCCTCTGTAAACATGAAGTTTTCAGGTAGATATTTCTGATGCCCTTGATCAGATCACCTTAGGCGTTCCTGCATTCAGTGGCTGCAGGGACTGCATCTCCCTTTGTTGACCACTTTCAGTTGTAGGGAAGGGAAGAGCAATGCTAGAAATGCAGCCTGAGGACTGCAGTGGTGGGAATTAGACTTGAGTTGGTGTAGCAGGACTCCCCCAGCATGAAGTCTTTAAGGGTTTCAGCATCCCTTGGCAGCATGTAGCCTTCACCAGTCCTTGTGGCTACTCTTCCTTCCCAGATATTAGTACACCACGAATACAGAGCTGCCAATGTGGGAAGAAATGTGGAAGAAATGTTCCTGCTCTAGGTCTCTGTACCTCTCAACCTGGGAGCTGGTCTATGTATGGAGATGAAGGGTTGTGTCTTCCATTGAGAAGGAGATCTGGAGCATGGCTTCTCCTGGTTCTGGCTTTCTTGGCAAGGAAACAAGCCTACTGTGAAGAAGAGACCTTGACACCTACAAGAAAGCTCCTCAGAGGAGGAAAGGAGCAAAGCTTGGCAGCTAAATCAAAGTGTGTTTCTAATTATCAAGAATGCATAGCATGTACAGTTAATTAGCAAAGAATGAGGGATGGCAAAAGATGAGGCAATGGTATCTCCTCAGCTTGTTGCTTCCTACAGAAGCAACTCAGAGCCATGTGAGTTGCATCTCCTCTGTGGCAGGGGAAGCAGGAGATGCCAAAAGAGGACTACAATGAGTAAATCAGATTTCCAACCAATGCGTGAGGACAGGAATTTCTCAGTGCAAAAAGGCAAAATTATCAATGGAGATACAGCATTTCTGTACCAATGGGTACTGAAAGTACTCAAAGCTGGAGTCTCCCTTACTCTGTCCCCTTGGAGAGCAGGAAGAGAATGAAGTTGCAATGCAGAATATGTTGTTTAGAAGGTGAGAATGACAAGAAGGTCAGTGAAATGAACACCTCCAGCTGTCCATCCAGATAAAGAAGAAACTCAGAGGTGCTGTGAATCTGTATCTGAATACCTCTTCTAGACCAAGACTGGGAGGATGCTCTAGGGAGTGATCAGTAATGGCCTTCGGAGAGGAACACAGAAATCAGATGAAAATGCAGATAAAAGGGAAGAGGATCTCCTTTGAAAAGAGTTTTACTGTGCTGAAGTTTCTCTGCTTGCCTTCTAAAACTATTTTTAAAATATGGATACTCACAACTAGAAAAAACCAAAGGGCAGGAGTGAGTGTCCATTGGGAAATTCTGCAGCTGGAGCAGACATTCAGCCTCGATCGTCAGCCTGAGAAAGAAAGGGAGAGAGAGCGAGGCTGATGTTTTGTGCTAGCGAAGGTGGTTTGATTTCAACACCATAATGTGACAGAGGGATTCTCGCTTCCTTAAAAGAGAGACACTAATTTGTTGAAGATCAGCCTGGTTGCAGGAACATTTCAAAACAGCAGCAAAACAAAGCATATGTTTGGATATTTTCAAAGTGAGGAAAAACATCTAATTTTCACATTCAACAAGCCTTTTTGTTTAGTGAGCTTTTCAGATTCATTTCCGAGAGCGGGAATTTATGGGAAAAGCACAGATGTTTATTATCAAATCAAAATGACTGGGCTGACCAACACAAAAATTACAACAATTTTCATGTTGGAAACCATTTATACTTCTGACTTCTGTCTCAGTACGATACAGAAAAATAGTTTAACATTTTGGGGGGGGGCTCTTTTCTTAGGAAGAGGAGGCCCATTCTGCAACCATATTGCAAGTCTTAGAACATTGGCACTGGGGACCATCTCCACTACTCTGTCCCAGAACAGCTGGAAAATGCTGCCTTGACCACCTCCTTGCTTCCTCACCTCAGCAGCCAGCTGTAGCACCTTCTGCACATACCTGAGTGTGTAGAGCACTTTTCCATCATTCCAAATGCGGAGGAGCTGATTTGGGGTGGTTATCCAGTGAGAATCAGCCCTCTTGGAGTTCCTAAAAAAGGTATCTGGGATCCAGATGCGGCTCACCATGTTAGTGTTCAGTGTGAGGGCCTTCAAGGTGCTGTTGAAACGAAGACGCCGGTCGTACCATGTCTGAGCAAAGAAGATATCAATGGTGTATTCCTGTGAAAGAGAAACAAGAATACATCTTTCTGAGACGGATTGAGGAAAAGCAGAGCTGTGTCCCCTGGTCTGGAGGCCGCTGATTTAGACTCACAGTCAGAACATTTACCTCTGGAATTTGGGAGCCAGTGTTTGTATCCACTGACAACTTTCCTAGCTCATCTCTGGCTCAGGGTCAGGACATCCACAGCACACGTGGGAAGAGCCAAGCACTGTGCAGACACCGACTAAATCCAGTCCTGAGTTCAGCTGCACATTGCAAACACAGCAAGGAAAGCCATTTGCCAGCTAGCCAGAGAACGCAGACAGCTTTTTCTATTGTTTATCAGAACAAAGCCCAGCAGTGCTCTATACTCCTAATTTGTACGTGTAGCCAGAGTGGTGTTGTGCATTAACCCTGTGAAATACAGAACTCAGAGTGTAAATCATTTATATGAATAACAGAGACACTAAAGGTTCCTGGGCAGATACATGTTGCTGAAGATTAGAAAAGGAAGCTTTGGAAGAGGTGCTATGGATCCATCTCTTTTTTGTGCACCTGGTTCTACATTTATTTGAGTATTTTGTAGACAGAAAACAGGGTTTCCAGCATAATGAGAACTTTTGGTTTTAGTGAGAGACAGAGTACCCAGCTAACCCATAACTAGCACTTCTGGGAGGCAGCTCCTCATCGGATTGGACTGGCACTTCTTCACATCATTAGCCCAGCATTCTGCTGCTTGCTGCTGCTGCTGCAAATCAGTTTGCTCCTTACACTTTTTTTTCAGTCTGTCAGAGAAGGTGCTAATTAGTGCCATGCAGGAACATGTCTGGCACTCAGTCGTTGTCTGAACCAGGTCCCCAGCCTGAATCCAGGCCCACCAGCCTATGCTGATGGCTGTGACCTGCTCCTGATAGCTCCTCTTTGACTTGGTCTTTGCTCCCTGTCCGTGTTAAACAACCACGACCATGGAAGCATTGTTTCCTTCTCTTTTGGGCAAAGGAACAACGTCTGACTTTGCCATCTCTCTTCCTCCCTCTATTGATTTATCTCAGTGTAATTTTTATAACTGTGGCATGTCCTCCCTTTGCTGCTCTCACTGCTGGTTCAGATCTCACTTCTCAAACCATGCCATTAAAATAAATGTGGTGCTCCTAGGGCACTCCCTCGGACATCGTGTCCTGCCTGGAGGAGGCAGAGCAGGGCAGCGCACAGCTCTCTGCTTCATTTTCCTCACCCTTGCTCTGCTGTCAGAAAACCAGTAATGAATGATTCGTACCAAAAATGTCCCTTGCATAGGAATGAGACCGTAAAAAAAGAGCATTTGCCATCAGGTGGTCAATTCACTCTCTAGGCTGATCCTTCACCCTGGTTAGACAAGGGGATGAGCCAAGGTAATGAAAATGAGGTCCTAAAATAGCTCTAAATAAAAACAGATGCTGCACGTTAAGCTAAAGCAAGTTAAAAGTGATGGCATTGCCTCCACAGAAGATTCAAAACAGACACGAGGAGGCACAGTGTTCCAGAGTCACATAGCTTGGACAACAGCCGTCCTCAAAGCCAGATACACAAGCATGCCCGATGCCTGAACAGGTGATGGGGAAAGACCCCTCCAGCATCTGAATGCCCTGAATCACAATGGGTACTGCTAGGAAGAGGGGTATGTGGTGATGGAGGCATGGCTTATACTGTGAAATAATGAGATAGAGATCACAGGCAGGCAAAGAAGCACTGGCACAGCACAGACAAGACGGGAGTGAAAGCCCAAAAAACCAACACTCCTTGGGGCCATTTTCTTTTCCTTGCCAGATGCTGGGGCCAAAGTAACACAACACTCGACATTTATCCCAAACTTCTGAAAGCCCTGTTTGAGTCACTACAAGCTTACATTGCCCCTCCTCAGGAACAGGCATAGGAGAAAACAACAACAACAAAAAGGCAATGATATATCTAGGTTAGATGCCACCCATCAGTTCTACCACTTAACTGGAAAATCCTGGGACATCTCAACATAGGGTTGGCTGCTCAGGTCAGAGGACCTGCTGTGAAGTTCATTATTCAGGTCTAGGACAACCAATGCTAAAGTTTCAGTAGAGCTGAGGGTCAGACATCTCAGAGCACTTGCTGTCAAGCCCAGGCTTTCAGAAGAGATCAGCATTAAAGAGCTCCTCTTGTGCCATTGACAGCCTTTGCTAAAAGTATAGCATACAAGTCATTCAGCTCTTCTGAAAAATCAGAGCTGTTATTGTCACTGTCTTGTAGTCTGATCTAATTTCATTGGCTCTTACTCATGAGGAATCGCTCACTGGCTGAGGTAGGTCCCTTGCCTTCAGATGGGGAGCCCACTGGGAAGCGCTGCTATTTACAAATGTATTTTCATTCAGAATTTTCCGAGGTAAGATTTATACAAAAATGTATACATCTGGCATTTGGGCATCTCACCAGTAATTCTGGCTATTACTATGAATAACTCACTGCCTTTTCTGGATGGCCAGTCCTCTGATCCTTTTGATATTGCGCTTTTCACATTCCTCCTTCCTCCAAGGAAGTATTTGTGAAGGGAATGCTCTGCAGTTGCGCAAGGACCTTCTGACCTTGTGCTTCACTTCTCATTAGGAGACTATCGCTTACATGACTGGCTGCAAAGCTGCCCAAAGCACCAGCACTGAGCAACAAAAACAGCGTGGAGTGACACCTTTTCTTTCCATGGATCCTACCTCAGAAGACTCACATCACTGTTTCAGTGAGATCCATTCCGTGGAGCTGGACATCCAGAAAACAACCTGCTGCTCTCCAAGGGACCTGGCAGCAGGATGAGCTCAGCCCCTAAAACTTAAGGAAGTGCTGTTCCTTGAACTCCTGCACCCGTGCGTTTTCTCTCCGCCACTGATTCATTCTCAAGCATCAGAAGGAGACTTCTCTACACCTCAATTTCCCATGTGAAAAAAGGTTATTGTAAAAAACGCCTCCAACATTACGGTACCATCTGCTGTGCGGCACATGGAGGTTGTTAACTTCTCTGTAACAGCATGGGCTTTTTAGGATTTTTCAACAGAAGGAACTAGAGAAAAAAGAGGTCTCACTCTAAGAGTTGGGCTGTGCCATTTGGATCACATGTGGAGTAGCACACACATTTTGACGTGAATGCAATCTTACACCAAACTTCAGTTACAAAATAATATAGTAATCTATCGGTAGAGCAAACACTGAAATACATTGGAACACTCATGCGTTTATCTAAAGCCAAGGAACACCCTGCAGCATCAGCACTGCTGCCTGTGGGAGCTTGGATCTGGTCAGCCTTCCAGCATGACCTGCTGGCTGCTGTGCACCCCCATCAGCAGACACTGCCACACAGTTGGCCCCAGTTAGGTCTTCCTTGTGCCTCCTCTCCCACCTCTGTGCATACATGGGGGGGAATCAGCCAGAATTTCCAGTCGGACTTGACCCCAGGAGCTCTAATCGAAATTAAGTTCCACCCTGTGGAACACATAGCCAGAGCTAACACAAGTTAGGGCTGCCCAGTTTCAGACTAGCAGCTTAAACTCACAGGGTCAGCACGACACCACCTGAAATCCACATTTTGCATTTTCAGGTTACCTTGTGAACCAGATAAACACAGTTGTGCACTGCCAGAAGATCCTTGTGTGGTGTAATTTGGAAACTGACACCTGTATTGGCACCTGTCCCTCTATTCATCTGTGAGATTCTTCCTCTGTTTTATTTAGAGCTCAGGTTTCTGACAGATGCCGAAGAGAAAAGCAAAGCCACAAGCTGAAGATAAAAGTCTTCCTAAATTAGGATAAAGTTAAAGATTTAAAGATTCATTATTATAATTATTGTTACTATTTTGCAAATTCAGTTTTCTGAAGGCATGTGGGGTTTTTTTTGGTGATTTTTTTTTTCTTTTTCTTTGCATTCAATAGCAACAAGAAATCTCCAAATAGAGGAGGTGGAGACCAAGAAACAAGTTCTTTCATTTTCCTCTACTGAAGAGAGACCTTGGAGAAATCTGAAATAACTGGGATGAGGAATTAATACCCTAGCTAGGTTCATTCTAGCTTTTATTGCTCTGATATTTTTCCCTATTTGTGGCACCCAGTTCCCTCTGCATCTCCAAGCACATCTCTTGTGCAGCACAACAAAGCAACCTGCTTGCCAGGGAAGCATGGCTAGCATTTCAGGTGGGCTGACATGAATTTGCTGGGTCCACGCTGTCACTTCATCATGGAGCTAAACAAAGCGACTGTTTCAGGCACACCCTTTGGGATGCTGCACCACTCAGTAAAATCTAAGGAAATACTGGAGGAGACCCAGGAGTGGGGTATATTTCTTTCAAGGCCTGGTGGGTGCAGCTCACGCTAGGAAGCTTCTCTTTCAGATCTAGCTGCACTGAGCAACTCCCCACCCACACAGCCTTGTGCAGGCGAGCATTTCCCACTCCACAGCATCCCACGCATCCCTCCCTGCCTGCAAACAGATCTGACAACACCTGAGCTGCTCCCTGCAGTCAGCTTCACATTGGGGGGAACACACAAAAGGTCTAGAGAAGCTCTCCATGCTTTGATAGCTAAATAAAATAACCTTATTTCAGAATAACCTTCAAATCTGATGCAGAATTTCTTGTCCACCGAGACTGTGAGCAGAAACATCCTTCTAGAATGATGTGTAAGCACTGTTAAAAGGCAGCAGAGCGTACTTCTACTGACAGCAGTGGCTGATGCCTGCCAGAGGTTGGGCAGTGCCAGGATTCCCCTTGTCCTGTCACTGACCCACAGTAACGACCACTTTGCTCTGAATGCCCCCATTTCCCTGCTCCAGTGCTGCTCCTAAATGCAGGGTGTGATGGAAAGGAAGGAATAAACCTCCAGTGCAACAGAACTGTGCAAACCTCAAAGTGAAGGGAGACTCAGTTTTGTCTTCCCAACACAAAGAGCAAAAGAAGGAGGATATAAATTTCACTATGTTTGCAAGATCCTCCTCTCCAAATCACATCCCAGAGAGCTCTCTGGCCATGATG